ATGTTAGCCGCTTTGAGATTCCTTCAGGTAGTGATAAAGCGGGATATCAAATCCAAACTCCTCCTCCTCCTCCTCCTCCTCCTCCTCTTCTTCTTCTTCTTCTCACTTTGTTCTTTTCCAGGAAAGAAAAACTTGCATGGGTAGGGGAAGGAGAAATGCTGGCTGGGTTAGGAACTAAGCATGGTGGGACTTGGGGGTCCTCTAGATGCCACCACACTCCAGAGTCCTTGAGTACCTTGCAGCATAGCCAGTGGTCAGGGATCATGGGAGCTGTAGTCCACGGACTTCTGGCCACAAGTTTCCCAACCCTGTACACCAGTGGGAGGATATCAGCATGAGCTCTGAGCCAAAGAGATCAAAGTTCCAAGTTCAACCAAGCCATTCACAATGGCTGTAAACAAATCTCTGGGAGTCTTCAAACTCTCCTCTACCTCACAGCTAAAAAATAGAGGCAGTCACAGTAAAGACCGGTGATAAATTTGGCTCAGATCTATCAAATGGACACTTTCCAAAACAATATAAGAACTGAAACATTGAAATTTCCTTTGGAATTTATCCTTTTCTGAACTTTGTGATGCTGCACTCCAGCCAAACAATGCAAATATAAAGGAAAGGTGTGCATACAAATTCACATATTGATAAAGAGCCCTCTTCTCATTTCTCAAAAATCACAGTCTTGTGCATTACTGAAGACTCTCCTTTGCCTCCTGCATCCTTCCCCAACCTGGTGTGCTTCAGATGTTTTGGACAGCAACTTCTATCAGTCCCAGCTACTGTGGCTAAAGGCCACAGTAGATGATGGGTGTTGTAGTTCAACAACATCCTGGAGGGGGGCAGCAGGTTGGTAGTGGTTGCTGATGCCCATTGAGACTGGTAGAGCAAGAAGACAGGGAGGACCAACAATAGGTGGAACCAGAGCCAATGTCAGCAGAGCCAACTCATTCTAGTTTTGTCCCCATCTTCCTCCTTGCTGAGTTCTACAGGGCCAGCACTAAGATTAATGATGGAGATGATGGGCAGGGGTGCTACCTGCTGAACTGGATGTAAGGAAGGAAGCAGGCAGTTGGGGGCTGCCTGGGGACAGACTAACTTGGGTGGGACAGTGTACCACTTGCCCTAATGGACTAGCTTCCACTGCAGGTTGGGCAAGTCTAATCTAACTGTTGCTAATGAAGCTATGGCTTCTTGAAGCTAAGCAGGCTTTGATGTTGGTGCTGACCTTTAAAGCCCTAAATGGCCTCGACCCAGTATACCTGAAGGAGCGTCTCCACCCCCATTGTTCAACCGGGACACTGAGGTCCAGTGCCGAGGGCCTTCTGGCAGCCCCCTCACTGTGAGAAGCAAAGTTACAGGGAACCAGGCAGAGGGCTAGTGGTAGTGGCACCTGCCCTGTGGAATGCCCTCCCATCAGATGTCAAAGAAATAAACAACTATCTCACGTTTAGAAGACCTCTGAAGGCAGCCCTGTTTAGGGAAGTTTTTAATGACTGATGTTTTAATGTATTTTTAATCTTTTGTTGGAAGCCACCCAGAGTGGCTGGGGAATCCCAGCCAGATGGGCAGGGTATTTTTTTTATTATTATGAAGAAGAAGAAGAAGAAGAAGAAGAAGAAGAAGAAGAAGAAGAAGAAGAAGAAGAAGAAGAAGCACCCAGAGGAGAGGTTTCTTGGGAACCCCAATTGATTCTCATCATGGAAAATAGATGAGATGCAAAAAATTAATAAATAATAAACAAGCATGGAGGCTAATCCTGTTAAGGCCCACACATTTCTACAAATGAAACCTTGGAGATTCCCATTGGTGGCTGTCCTATCCAGCAAAGAAATCCTTTCCTCTCACCCTGTCACTCTCAGTGGCCAAAGTCTCACCTCTGTTCACTGGGGTCTTTACGTAACCCGACCTCCAGAAGGCAATTACATTGGGCTTTCTGGTGTGTATATATGTGTGCTCATCTGTTTCTAGTATTGACAGCGACTCTGCTTTCAACAAAGGGTGGGTTCCCATGAACTCCCTTGCTTTATTACCAGCTGGTTCTTATTAGGGATTAACCAATAATAAAAAAGGAGTAATACAGTCAGCAGTGTGTTCTTCTCTGCAACACTTTGCCATGTGTTTTAATTTACCAATCTACCAAGAAAGACCTGCCCCCAATGAACCACATTCCATACCTCACATATTTTGCTTATTTTGATAAATGTTGCTTTTCAGAGATAAAAAAAAAAGTCTGGGCTAAGAACCTGGCACATATTGTCTGCTTATGGCTACAGATCTGGGGTTGCTGAACTGAATTAAACCAGGGCACGTGATCGTTTTTCAACTAACTGCTTATTGCTTCTTTTGTTAACAGGCTTCTAAAATGTCTTTCGCAAAGCTCCTTGTCAGGCTCCTTATGTCCAAAAATGAGTGAACTCCGTTTTTTGAGAGGTGAGGGGCTGTTTTCTTTCAGTGCTGAGGATGCGAAACACACTATCACAGTTTCAATTTTTATTACAGTTTTTTTATTGTGGTGTTCATGCTTTATAATGTGTTTTCATTCAGATAAATTTAGAATTTACAAGAATGTTTGGGACCCTGCCGAATGGTTTCAGGCTTAGCAAGTAAAAGTCTACAGTGTGTGGATTAAATTTCTGTAATATAGCATTTGAAAGAGTAGGGTGAAAAAGCTTATATTAAAATCAGCTGTAACTGTGTGGACCTGGCTTGAACCTGTGAGCTGATCTTTATGGCTTAGATGAAGATCAACATTTCTTCCTTGTAAAAAAGTTATTGAAAGTTTCAGAAAGCACTTCATTTTATTATTTTTTTGGAAGCTCCTTGAGTAACATTCACTTATTCATTTACATTAGCCTGACTTGTGCTCACTGACTGTGAGTTGACTTCACTTGCCCTCAGATATGTCATCGCTTAGCCAAATAAGAGTGGCTAAGTAGCGTCTTGACATCATATTGTTCACTATGAGATCATTGATTGGCTGGGATTACCCATAGAATTTATCCAGAATGAAAGCAGACAGGGTAAGAATAAGATGAAAAAATACTTTTTTAAAGAAGGTAAATATTCACACATATTATCTGGTGGTGAAGATACGCATTCCAGCAAAATAACAATTTTTGATCTCCAACCACAAGAATATTTGGGAACATTTCATGCCACTGTTTGGGAGAAACAGAACAGAAGAAAGCTAAATTACAATGGGATAGGAAGTAAGAAACTGAATACTCCATAATAGGCCAGCAAATTTGCATACATATAATTTTTCATTTAATGTAATTTAAAATAATTTTAGTGATTTCAGCCTTCCCAGACTAGGAATGCCCAGTAGCATAAATATTGTTTGCAACCATTCCCTGTGGATTTCTCTCTTTTGGTGGGGGGGTTGTCTTAAAAATTCCTAATTTCTAACATTCTCTTATTTCCTGAATTATTTTCCCCCAGTGAATATGAAAATCACAATGCTGACTACAATAATAGGCCAGAGGGAGCCTAGGTTACACTTCCTTCCTTCCTTCCTTCCTTCCTTCCTTCCTTCCTTCCTTTCTTTCTTTCTTTTCTTTCTTTCTTTCTGGTGTGGTGTTCTGTATATAGTATGCTTAGTGTTAAGGTTCTAGTCTTATTGTAAGTTATTTTAAGTTAAGTCTGCTGCAACTGGGTTTTTATGGACAGTGCCAATCCAGATGTACTAGATTTGTAACCATTATACTCATTTGCCTTCAGTAGCAGTAAAGCTCTGCTGGATGAAATACAATTGCCTCTGGTCTGTTTTTTTTTTAGTTTTTTACTCTGCTAACTCTATGTTGGAATCTGCTCTGGATCAATATTGAGCAGAGTTCATGACACCTATGTGTATTTACTGCAAAGTAAGATCCACTTAGGGATGCGGGTGGCGCTGTGGGTAAAACCTCAGCGCCTAGGACTTGCCGATCGCATGGTCGGCGGTTCGAATCCCCACGGTGGGGTGAGCTCCCATCGTTCGGTCCCAGCTCCTGTCCACCTAGCAGTTCGAAAGCACCCTTAAGTGCAAGTAGATAAATAGGTACCGCTGTATAGCGGGAAGGTAAACGGCGTTTCCGTGTGCTGCTCTGGTGCCGGTTCGCCGGAGCAGCTTCGTTACACTGGCCACGTGACCCGGAAGTGTCTGCGGACAGCGCTGGCTCCCGGCCTCTAGAGTGAGATGAGCGCACAACCCTAGAGTCTGTCAAGACTGGCCCGTACGGGCAGGGGTACCTTTACCTTTTTTAAGATCCACTTTGAATGAGATTTAGGCTGCAATCCTAGCCTCACTTGCCTGCGAGTGAAACTCATTGAATTCAATAGACATACTTATGAGTAGACTTGGTTAGGACTGCCGTGCTATTCCTTCCTAAGTGTGCTGAGGACTGCATCCTTAGATTCTTTTACATTCCCACCAAATATCCATCAAATCTGTGAATCAGAGATGAGGAATGTGTGACACATTATGTTTTACATACTCGTTTGTTATAATTCAGAGAGTAATGATGATTTGTACTTTTTAAAAATCTGATAAACTGCCAACCCAATCAAAAATCATTTCCCTTTCTAAAAAGTGAAGGGATTTGTACTTTTGTCATCCATACCTTCTTAGCACTGGTGCCAACTCCACGGGGCCTGGGCAACCACAAAATATTTGTTGTGGGTGCCTGGCCTCCCCCCACCCCAGCTGCCACACACTGCTGTGCCACCCAGCCTTTCCTTCGCCTTGTCCTTCCTTCCTTCCTTCCTTCCTTCCTTCCTTCCTTCCTTCCTTCCTTCCTTCCTTCCTTCTTACATTTCTACCACACCTTTCTTCCAAGTAGCTCAAGGGGGTCTACATCATTCTCCCTTTCCCCATGTTATCCTCATTTGCTCCTTGTTTTCAGAAGCATTATTTGGGGAAATTGGGAAGCGCAAACCATACTTCCCTACCTGGGACTTGAACCCTCTAATAGTGAAAATGGGTTTAGGGGCTAAGCCCCAAGGAGCCATGACTCAAACAAACTAACCTGGATTACGGCTGAGGTCATAAGCATTCCAGCTGTGCTGCTTCCTTGCCTGTATTTGCCAGCCGCCTGAGCTCTGATGTCTCTACTTTTGGAAGAAGGAATGCGCATATATATATACATACACACTCACGACATGAGACTCAGTTCTTAGTCATAGCCCTCCTGGGTCTCCAGACTGCTGTTGGCAGCACAGTGGAAGGAAGAGCAACTTTCCCCCCTCTCCTCTCCAACTTGCTGAACAAAGCTGAGACAGCAGTTTAGCTGTACCTCGAGGTGAAAACATTATCAGGGCCCTCGGACCAACAGCCAGCCCAGCCCAGGGACAGCTGTAAAAAAAGGAAGGAAAAAGCTGGCGCCGTCGGGGTTTATTTAGACAGGGTCACCCCCGCAGCTGAACATACGAAATGATACTCCGTGCCACACCAACCAGAACTGAGGGAGCGAAAAGACTTGTTGGTCGGGGGAGGTGAGGGCTGAGAAGGCCACAAGGGTGGGAGCACTGACCACCTTCAAGGAGGTCCCAAGGTAGAGGGGAGATAAATCAAGTCCCGTTGCCACCGTCACTCTCCGTCACACAACCTGCTCCGAGAAATAACCTGTCAGTGTCTGACGGCAGGAACAAATCAAGCGAGCCACGGAGAGAGACAGAAAGTCTCCGGAGAAAAACGTAGGCATCTTTCCTTCAGGTGGCTAGCAGGGACTCAGTGCCAGGCTGTCACTGGCAGTACTTAAAATAACAACAATAAAGTGTCAAAGAATGTTTGAAGCTTTTTCCCTTCTTTTTTTAACTGGGCAAACCTGTCCTGGCAGAGCTGTCAAAAAGCACGATGACTTCTCTCACCTTCTTGGCTTCCAGATCTCTTGTGTTTAATCAGGGATGTGAGCTGAGTCAGCCAGAAAGTTTAGCTAATATTAATGATTCCAGTCAAAGGGGAAAGAACAGCTAGCCATTTTCTCTCTTCCCTTTCTTTCTTTTTCATCCTTCCTTCCTTCCTTCACCTCAATGTGACTTGTCTCCACCTTAAATCAACACAGCGGGTTGGGCAGCTTGAAGTTCTAGGAAAAAAATGGTCGCCCTTCAAACGCTTTGGACTACAACTCCCATCATCCCGAGCCAGTGCTCATTTTTGTGAACTGCTAACTTCACAGGTTTTTAGATTTTTTAAAAATAGCTTGCTGCTCTCACTCTGCCATTTGCACGATTACACCAAACTGCCACCATCCACTGAGAAGCACTAAACCAAGTGCAGCCAACATGTTATGGACTACAATTCCCATCATTTCTACCCATCGGCCAGGCTGGGTGGGACTGATGGGAGCTGTAGTCCAAAACATCTGGAAGGCACCACAGTTTATTGGACTGCAATACTATGTGGTCCTTGCATAAGAAATGCTACAGTTTGACAGCCTGCTTCTCTGTTTCTCTGAAGAGTTAACAAGAAGGCAGTTGTATGCTGTGTGAGTGCTGACATTATTAAGGATTTATATCTAGCACATACCTCACTGTAGTCTAGATCAATCAGATCCAAGGATAATAAATATCTTGTAGCCACCAGACTGAACTTCAGATGGAGCAGACACAACTTTGCTACATGTTTTCACTGGATTAACCTCATTGATTACCCACAAAGAGCTTAGGATACGGTACTTGAAGGTGTGACGAGCATTCTTTGTAAAATGTTTAAAATTCCTCCACTGAACTTTGGTTCAATAGAATTAGTTGAGGCTTCGACCAATGGAAGCTGCTAGCTCATATTTAGGATTACATTCTTAACCTGAAAAGAATGTCTTTAACAAATGTAATATATTAAAGGCAAAGAAGTAATAGAAACCTCCAAATGTTTTGAGCGGTGCAATGTTATGAAGAGTTCATTTAATCCATTTTTTATTTTCTTTTTAAAAAATAATATTTTATTAATTTCCCAAAATAACAAAAATAAACAGCAACAACAATACAAAACAAAACAAATTGACTTCCCTCAAATCCCTTCCTTGGTTCAATTATTTATCAAGATACTGCATGCCCAGTGTTAAGTTTATAACATATTTAAATAGTCTATTTATCCATTCATAAGAAAATTACAAGTAAACAAAAAATCCTGCTAATGTATTAACCTGTGTACAATGCTTCTGTATATATACAATAAACATCTTCCATTCTTCCTTAAATTCATTATCGTCTCTTCATCTTAATTTCATTGTCAATTTTGCCATTTCGGCATATTCTGTTAGTTTAACTTGCCAATCTTCTTTAGATGGAACACCTTTTTCTTTCCAATATTGGGCTAATAAAGTCCGTGCGGCCCTTGTTGCATACATAAACAAATTGTTTTGTGCTTTTGGTAGATCCACTCCTATAATACCTAATAAGAAAGCTTCTTGTTTTTTTTAACAAAGGTTATTTTAAACATTTTCTTCATTTCATTATAAATCATTTCCCAATATTTCTTAATAATTTTGCAATCCCACCACATATGGAAAAATGTTCCCTCTGTTACTTTACATTTCCAACACTTGCTTTCCTTAGTTTTATACATTTTTGGTAATTTTACTGGAGTTAGATACCATCTATACATCATTTTCATATAATTTTCTTTGATCGCCACACATGCTGTAAATTTGATATCATTCTTCCATAATTTTTCTCATTCCGCCATCTGAATATTAGGTCCCACATCTTGTGCCCATTTAATCATGACTGATTTGACCTCTCAATCCTTCGTTTCCCATTCCAGCAACAGATTGTACATTAAAAAAATTAATTTTGCTTCATTTTCTATTATTTCTCTCTGAAAAGGTGAGATTTCATATGCAAATCCCATCTTTCTATTATTCTTACACATTTCATTTAGCTGAAAATATTGTAACCAATCTGTTATATTCTTAATTTAATTGGCTTTTTGTTTCCATTAACAACTCTCTGTACATTGCTCACTTGGTATCCATATTTAATTTCTCCCCTGATATTGCCTCTAATGGGGAGAGCCACCATGATTATTATTTTTTGTTTAGAGTTCATTTAACCCAGAGGTAGCCATCCAAGGCCCCTATATCTGGTCTTTAGTAGGCTTGCCATACGTCAGGAAAATTCCTGACACGTTCTGGTTTTCGGGTGTAAAAATGGCGTTGGGGGGAATTTTGCTGAATCGGCAAAATGTCAGGGGAAACAGATGTATGGCAACACCGTGGAAACAGCTCCCAAAGTTTAAAAACACTATTTTGTGGGGAGGTTTGTGGGTGTCAGGAATTGCAATTTTTGAAATGTGGCAACCCTAGACATTGGGGGCTCTCCCTGGGCCCAATCCACATAACATACTACTCAGGTGCATATGCCTGGCTGGAAGGTGTCCTTGAGTTGCGATGATGCCTCTTGCTTGCCTGGCTGGCGAAATGGAGAGCTTGTCTGTTTGGGGTGTGTGCAGAAGCCTCTGATGTTTGCCTGGCTGGAAAGGAGCCTACTATACGGGGGTAACAGCCACATCCATCACTCTGCCCAGTTGGCTTCTGGCTGTGCCCCACACTGGCATGTGGCCCCAGAAGGGCTTCCTTCAAGGGAATGATGTCTCCCTTGGACTTAAAAGTATCCCCCCTCCCTTAATTTAGTCAATACAGCTAGAGTGTCATTTGGAATATTCCAGGCAGCTAAATAAAAGAAGCACGTTGGCGTGTGAATGTTCCAAACACCTAGCCTAAAAGCACAAGGTGAAACGGCCCTTCCCCTGCAGGAAAAAGGGTTGATTGCCGTGTGTTGTGGTTCCAAGAAAAATGCGAGGTGTGTCTTTTGCAGAGCAAATGTTCAAACAACAGCTACAGAGGCTAATTAAAGTCAACGGCGGGGTTTGAATGAGTAAAGAGGTGTCACAAAACAGGCACGCTAGTAAAACCAAAAGCTGTTGGATGCATTTGGCATATGGCAGTCACGAAGCAAACTGGCCCCAAACTCTCTCTCCTGTTAGGGATAAGGGTTCAAATTTGGCTCGGCTCACATTTTAATGTGGACTTACCTAATTTGCCCTTCCTGAAAAAAACACAGGAAGCAAAACAAAGAGATCCTTTGAAACCCACACTTTTCCAATTTAAGTGACGTAGTTGTACAAAAATGCATATAATAGGAGAAATGCAATTGGTAATTAGGTGATGCATTATATTAGGAAAAATTGCTTTCAAAATATGTATATTAGATCAAATGTCTTTATAATGCATTTTTACTGTTTTTGTGTGAGTGTATGCTTTTATGACACTCTTTGGTCTTTTTAAGTTTAATTTTTGTAGACTACTTTTAGATTTTTAAAAAATATTAAGCAGTTTGGAAATGCTTTTAAATAACTATTTTGCATATTGAAAAATAAATAAATTGCATACAAAGATGTGTATATAAGGAGAAATGTGCATCACAATTTTGTGGTGACCTTTTACAAAAGCAAAACCAACACCTACTGATGTGGAAATGTGGTGAAGTGCACTTCAAACTGGAAAAGAATGTGAAACTGACGCCAACCAAAATGGACAAATTTATCTATCCTTATCTCATTTTTTTAAAATTTGACACAACTTACATATTGCTCAATAATAATAATAATAATAGCTCTCTAATCTATTTACATAATAATATACAATATTTGTGAAAAATAGCAATAAAAGCAGACTTTACAAATAGCAGATGATGCAATTATTGAAAAAATCAATGGAATCAACAGTTTTTAAAACAGTTTATGCAATAAAATTATGTGTCTGAGTAGGCTTCCATGAACGAAAAGGTTTTTAGTAGACATTGAAAACAACAGGGAGGGAGTTACATAGGTGCTGCCACACTCAAAGGTTCCTACTTCCCCTCTACTGTCTCTCTAAACAGCAAACGTATCTGTAGTCTTTGCCACCAGGCAAGCAATTCTTGATGTGCTCATCACACTTCATCACTTCATTTAATCTCTCATTACCAAGATCCCCTTCCATTTCTACTGATGTGGATGCAATTTCAGCACCACACTAGTGCAGCCTCCCCCAACCTGGTGGTCTCCAGATGTTTCGGAGTACAACTTCCATCATCCCTGACCATTGGCAAGGCTGACTGGGGTTGATGGAATCCAAAATATCTGGAGGCCACCAGATTGGGTAAAGGGGTCGTAGAAACCTCCTCCTCTTCAATAAGATGCTTTTGTGCCCTGAAACCTATTTCTCCTTTACAGGAGAGGAGCTGTCTGCAAGGTGAT